TTAGTAGTAATAATAATAATAGTAGTAGTAGTAGTAGTGGAGAGAGAAAATCGGGAGAGAAAGACAGAGATCATGTTCAGAGATAAAGAAAACAGAGAGAAAAATGAATGGAAAAAGAGAATAAGGAGAGAAGTTACAGGAGAGTGAGAAAGAAGAGAGAGAGAGAGAGAGAGAGAGAGAGAGAGAAAAGAGAGATAGCAAGAGAGGGAAAATAATAATTATTATTAGTAGTAGTAATAATAGTTGTGGTAGTAGAAAGAGAGACGGGAAGATAGAGGTACTATTCAGAGCGAAAAAGAAACTGGCAGACAATGAAAAAAAAGAAAAGAAAAATAGCAGAAAAGAGAGAGAGAGAGGGGGAGAGAGAGGGAGAGGGAGGTGTAGGGAGGGAGGAATATTGAGAGAGAGAGGGAGAGAGAGAGAGTGAGGGAGAATAACAGAAAGGTAGATAGACAGAAAGAGAAGCAGATGGAAGGAAAATGTCTTCGCCGTTGTTAAGGAGAGAACGACAGAGAGAAATATAATGGAGAGAAAGCACGAGTCGGAAATAATAATTAGAAAGAGAGAGTTTGAGAGTGGGGGCGAGTGATGAGTAGTAGGAGGAGGGAGAGAGAGAACAGAAAAGTACCAGTTAAAGAAAGTCGAGGTCCTATGAACCCTGTCTTAAAGAAGGTAAACGCCGTTTTTCTGTGGAACGCCAGTGCTAAGCGAAGGGTGGAATAAAAAGCGGGCGAAGAAGAATGTGTAGATGGCGGGGGGGGGGGGTTAAGAAAGGTAGCGACAGAGAGATAAAAACTGAGAGAGGGGGAAGAAAACTTGAGCCCGATGATAGAAAGAAAGCATGTTGGCTGCTACTCTATCTGCGCATGTGCGCGCATGCGCGTGTCTGTTTGTCTGTCTGTCTGTGCGTAGGGTGATTCATTCGGGCGTGTTTACCGGTTCTTTGGGGGCCGGCATGTCGTAAACAACTTTCATAAGAGAAAAGCCGAGTGGAACGAATAACTATAGGAGAAAGAAAATATCTTTCTTTTTTCTTTCTTTTTTATTCATTTCTTTTTTTCTTTTTTTTTTTTTTTAAATGAAGACAAAATGGATGCAAATAAGAGGAACCTAAAGTGACACACTTAGTTTTGTGTATATGCGCCTGTGTCTGTACGTGTCAATGCGTGGGAGTGCTTTTTTGTCGACTGCACGATGCGTCTTTCCGTACAGATATTTAAAATAAAAAAGACTGATTCGTATGGCACAAGGTCACGGTAGTTGGGCGCTGTTAAATATCGATCTCTCTAGATTTAATAATAACACTGAAAAGAAGATTTTTTTTTTTTGGTTTTTCCAGTACAAAGACGAAGAGCCTCTCAAGGTAGAGGACTACTGAAAGAGATTTTTTAAGTGTGTTAGCTAGAGAAAGGGGTAAGTCAGAAGTGCGTACCATGAGGATATGTAGTTGACCTCAGACTTGAAGATGAGATCGTAGTGTTCTGGGAAACATCTTCTCGGGAGTATATTCCCAAAAAGTAACAGTTCATGAAAAAATATATGGCTGGAACTTACTCTTTACCAAAGGGATACGAAGAAAATAAAGATGATATCATGAACATGGTTTGGCTGATTCTAGATGTGAAGGTCTGAACTGGGAAAACTAAGGATGTAGTTCGTGTGAATATTTGCCATAGTAATCGCGATAGAGTAGTGAGTAGCAACGTTTTGTCTGTGGGATAAGAGTTGCAAGGTGGAGAATAATTCATCACCCACGAGGCCGCGTAATCACGTTTGAACTCTGTTACGGCTGATCAGAAAAGATAAGGCAGTACCAGCCCTGATATGTCAGTAGTACTCCATTCTGGATTTGATTTGACACTTCTAAAGATAAAACATGACTGCAGTTAGTCATTTTCTGAAGCAGTACATGAAAACGTCTCTTCTTCGGTCGTCTTTAGTGATGGTACGAAGACAGTCGTTCCATTTGAGTTCTAAAGTGAACTTTAAACCCAGCAAACGTTGATATACACAAGTTTTAACAGAGATAAAATAATGAATCCCACAGTGAATAAAGATCTAAAAAATAATTATTTGTAATATTCATAGACAATGCCGTACCAAAAGCTTAGGAATGAGTGTCTAGTATAATTTAAAACGCATTTAAGAGTCGGGCGATGTATAACAACTCTATATAACATAGATTACCCAAGTTGTTCCAAGAACACTGGATAGATGTTGAGGTTTGCTGTCGCTATAGCTCTCCACCTTTTATTGATATTTGTAGATGCAGTAGATCTAGTTCGGGAATAGACCTTTCCACCACGCCTCAAAATGCGCGACTGGGCTCACGTCAGGTGACTGTAGTGACCATACCGTTCGTCGAATGGCTCTAGGCTTCTCTTCAAACCAATCACGGGCTGTATTGGCTGCAATGCAACGGTGCATGAATAAACCCATTGCTTTTGGTGTACATGACATAGAAATGATGAATTTCGGTGGATTAACAGCCCCACCCCATGCCACCAGACAACACCCAACAACATTATGAAGACGACACAAGCCTACATGATACCTTATTGAAAATTGGCATCTATGGTATCATGTGGTCAGCGTTAGCATCATTCCGATAGAAACAATAGAATCCTAAAACCGTGAGACATCTATTTTTTAAGCATTTCACCCCATGCAAGGAGGGACGTGCCACTAACACACAAGGGGTTACAGAGAGTGAGAGCAAGAGTAAAGAGGGTCATTTGAGGAAAGGATAAAGAGAAGGACGGTGATCAGGATCAAGGCATCAGAAGATGTCGATAGACATTACATTTGAATATTTGAAGATTATAGCTATCAGGGAAGCAAATAAGAGGAAGGGAGTTCCACTGTCGGGAAGTGCGGGAGAAGAAGCTGTTGGAGCAGAAGAAGCGGGTACACTTAACTGTTTTGGCAGTGAAACGGTGGGACCGAAATGCCAATCTAGTAGCACGCTAAAATTCATGTAGTTAGGGTACCAGGTAAAGTAACTCATTAGAGAAGTTACCATGAAAAATATTTGTAGAAAAGACAGCAGGAAGCTGCATCACGTCTGTGAGAAAGTGACTGTAGACGAGATGCCAGATCATGACTTATCATGTTGCATATCCGTCTCTGGATTTTGACGAGAACGTCGAGATGTACAGCGTGGGTATCAGACCATATATGGCAACAATATTCAATGTAAGGACGAATGGTAGATTTGAAGGATGGACTCAGGCGAGCAAAAAACCTTCTGGCGCGACATGTTGCGAGTCCTATCTTGTTCAATTAATGATAGTCCAACCCAACTGACGCGTTGCTGTGGTGCTTTGGTATTATAGGTGCTATATCATGTTACTTCCTGCACTGAATTCTTGTGTTGATTGCTGCAGTAGAAAATTCTAGCTAGTCGCTTCAGGTCCTGCAATGTCGACGTTGAACGGCAATGCTTCATATCAGCTATTTCCAGTATATATATGACAACCATAGATCGACGGATGTCGATTGTACTCACAATTGCAGAAATGTAATGGCTCTATTTGTTTAATGCTCGCTATTACCGTTTTTTTCCCGCTTACAAGACTTACTCTTTTCCTTAAAAATACCCTAAAAAATACGTGTTCGTCTTCCAAGACGAATGTAAATCAGCGCCCAAACTCAAGTAAGCCTGGACGCTCACCTAATTGGTTTAACTGATAGTGACATGGATTTGTATGTTGAATCATTACACTATAATGTTATCTCTCTATCTAATTCGCCTTTTATATGATGTGACTCCAGTACTTAGCTGTTAAATGTATTTCTAAGACTATAAACCTTCCTGGAGCTGAGCCACAAGCTTAAGCATGATCTGTTTACTAGCAGCAGTAGAGCCTTTCTGCTCTTGACTAGTATGTCATAGCCATACAAACAAAATCGGACGAGTGATTAATGTGAACAATACGTGGCGCCAGTATGTGAGGAACGAATGTTGAATTTGTTGTTGTATAAGAATGACTTTTCCTTTTCTTAGTAATTTATTTTAGGGTGCGTCTTCTAAGCCGCAGCGTCTTGTAAGACGGTAAACACGGTATTCCCCTTTCGAAATAGAAAGATAATTCACGTTACATTGCAATTAGGCGCCTAGCTATTGTTCACAGTAACTATCAGATTAGAATTCTTGATGTCACTACCTTTACCATTACATACTATGTCATCGCTTTTGGCACGTCATTATACATACATGTATGTATCTTTATATATATATATATATGAAGATATATATATATATATATATATATATATATATATATATATATATATATATATATATAATGTGTATATTTAGGTAGCAATTTTCATTGATGCATGTTTCATTAAAGAATATAGACAAGTTTTGTCTATTTATTTTAAGTAAGTTACTTTCATATTGTCTGATAAGCTTAATAACATTATCATTGAGAGACGAATGGAAATCACCATATTAATACATGTTTAAATCCAATCTAAGCTTTCGTCTTGCATAAACCATTATCAAAGATGACACATTTCAATATATCAAACAATACACGGACGAAAGAATAATGATTTTGTTGCATGAAAAATTTCAAAGTAACGACAAACTCGTGTGTACGAGACGAGGAAGCGAAAATCGCGTCGCAGCTCGTGACGTCAAACATGACCACGCGAGTGAAAACGAGAAGTATTAAGTATGGGAAGCCGGTGGTATATTAGAAAATATGAAAGGAACTTACTTAAAATAAATAGACAAAACTTGTTTATATTATTTTATGAAACATGCATCAATATATATATATATATATATATATTATGTTAAACGTAATCGACAGGGCTTATATTTCTTTCTCCCTCTCTTCGTTCTCCCTTCCCAGACTTAAATGAATATCTCTCTTTTTCTTCCACATCTATTTCCTTCAGCCATTTTGAATACATGTCTCCATTTTTTTTATAAATGTTTTGTGCTTGGTAAAATTTTTAGCTATTTAATTTTCGGGAAAATGTTTGGTCTGATGAGTTAAAACCGTAGTATCGCTTTTAATGAAATAAAATATTACCATAATCTTTTAAAGTCCCCGTTCATATATATATATATATATATATATATATATATATATATAAACAGGGCTTTCCCGTTGTATGAGGGTAAAGCAGCTGAACCGAATACAGAGGCCTGGTGTACGGTATGCCACAAGGTCCCGAAATGACGACTCGCGGGTTTTGATTTCAGAGTTGATCTTCTTCTAGACTGTTCGCAAACCAAGGCTAAGTCTGTACAGCTATTTACCCATAGTTAGAGGAGAAGAGATGAATTCATTCCTTTGCTAAGGGTATTAGCACGTAAATGGATGTAATAAATTCCACTGGAATTAGAACTCGGCTCTCCGATTCCTCAGTGCGAGACATATCCATTACTCGCTATAGCCATCCGTGCCTAGGAAGAAAAGCTGGCCATAGTGGCATACCCAGGCAAGAACAACCTGTTAAACTAGCGGTCCAAGTTAATGTCAAAATATAGACATACCAGTAAATATAAAAAAAGTAGGAGCCCGGATGAACAATTTTCTTTTCTCAGGGCCTCAAAATCTCCCCTTGTCCCTCCCCTTCTGGTGCGATGGATAAATTATCGTCTAAATTACGCAAAAGTGAAAATGTTACTGACGTCTCATTTTAACAGATATATCTATTTACCAAAAGTATACAAAAATATCTTAAAATGCGAAAGAGTAAAATTATTCGATGAAATCGCCATTGGCTTCAACCACGGCCTCCAGACAACTTCGGAATCTCCTGCAACACATCTGGATGGTCTCCTTGTTTAATTTGGTGAATGCTGCCATCCAGAATCCTTGCCTTCAGTTCATCTTTGGTTTTAGACGGAGTTTTGTTGGTCTTTCGCTCAACTGAGCACCACACATAATAATCAAAGGAGTTTCTGTCTGGGGAGTTTGGTAGCCAAATGTAAGGGGTGATGGAGTCGCAGAAAATGCCTGGGAATCATAACTGTGTCC